AAAAGCAGATAATGTGGATTATAGGGCAGTGTGGAAGGGGCCGGAGAGTTATCAGCCTGCATATAATTTGAAATGACCCTGCAAGCAAGGCATTACACCAGAGAATTTGAAAAACGGGAGTAAAGAATTTGTGGTACTCCATATATTATCGGTTTATAGTTCCCAGCAGGCAGTAGGGAAGGATGATGACAGCTGCAGTACAATAGGATCTGGAGGAACCAGCACTCCTCATCTCTGCAGTAAAATATACCTGAGTAAAAGGAAAGATAAATCTTTGCAGCTTATTGGTAGAAAACCATCTTATTCTGTTAGTTCTTGATCACAGATGTAACTATAATAAAACATATACTAATAGGAGCATCATCATTAGTCCATGTTAACCTTGCATATATAGAATGTCCAAGGAGGCTTTAGTTCAGTGTTATAAAAAATAATAAGCAATAATAAGCACATACAGGTTTCTTGCCATAATTGTGACCAGGATTGTCTGAGACCATCCTGTCTGGTTTGCATATTCCCATTGCCACAAGGAATTGCTCTGATGCTGAATTAATGGAGACATTTTTGCATATTGTGGGGGCGTTTGTGTGCACAGAGAGCTATCAGGTGTGGAGAAGTCATTGCCATTGAAAATCACAAGCAAATGTTTAGTGCCTATTTTCTTTGTGTTTCAGGAGCTAACGTTCAAGGATAAGCTATTCGAAAGAAGCATTTGGAAATTCTTTGAGGAACCAATGTTAATTTATCTATTCAATCCATTTCGACTGCTTTAATTTTCTTTTTAAAATCCCTGCTGAACAGGCTCAGCCGTGAGAAGAAAATAGACTTTTTATTGCATTAAACAAACCTTAATTATGCTGTTTCCTTAATTGTAAACTTACTGTAGTAGAGCAAAATGTACTGTCCAATCTTTAAAAAAAATGTCACAGTCTAGTGCAATGTTTCTCAACCTGGGGGTTTTTCAACATGAGGGGGGGGGGTCGCGAGGGGGTGTCAAAGGGGTTGCCAAAGATCATCAGAAAACAGTTTTTTTTCTGTTGGTCATGGGGGTTCTGTATGGGAAATTTTGCCCAATTCTATCGTTTATGGGGTTCAGAATGCTCTCTGATTGTAGGTGAATTATAAATCCCAGCAACTACAACTCCCAAATGTCAAGATCTATTTTCCTCAAACTCTACCAGTGTTCACATTTGGGCATATTGAGTTTGGTCCAGATCCGTTGTTGTTTGAGTGCACAGTGCTCTCTCCATGTAAGTGAACTACAACTCCAAAACTCAAGGTCAATGTCCACCAAACCCTTCCAGCATTTTCTGTTGGCCATGGGAGTTCTGTGTGCTAAGTTTGGTTCAATTCCATCATTGGTGGCGTTCAGAATGCTCTTTGATTGTAGGTGAACTATAAATCCCAGCAACTACAACTCTCAAATGACAAAATCAACCCCCCCCCCCCCCAAACCCCAACAGGATTCAAATTTGGGCGTATGGGGTATTTGTGCCAAATTGGTCCAGTGAATGAAAATACATTCGGCATGTCACATATTTACATTACGATTCATAACAGTAGCAACATTACAGTTATGAAGTAGCAACGAAAATAATTTTATGGTTGGGAGCCACCACAATATGAGGAACAGTATTATGGGGGCATTAGCTGGTCTAATGAAACCTATGACGAATTACATGGCAAAATGTCCAATTTGTGAAATTTCTAGGGGTCCTCTGCAAAGTTGTGGGTCTATAGTGGTCTACAGAGTAATCATTTATCCTATTTTCTGATATTTCTTGCCCGCTTCTCCTCTTGGCTCGAGGCTAGTTACAACATTGCTAAAATAATCATTCACTTAAAAAACATTCTTTAAAATACACCTATTAAAATGTATTTCCACAAAATGCATATTACAATACACAAAATAGAGATTAAACATAATGTTCTAAATCCTAACTGGTAGTCTTAATGAGAGTAGATCCATTTAAATTAATTGTTTAATGGTAAATCAACATTTACATAAATCCCAGTGATTCAATGAAACTACTCTGGTTGGGATTATCAATAGGATTTAAGATCCTGACAAGACCTAGGAGTCAAGTGGCTAAAACATGAAACACATCCCCCCCCCCCAAAACATCCAGAAGAATTGGGGCCCATCCACACAGCCCTATATCCCAGAATATCAAGGCAGAAAATCCCACAATATCCGCTTTGAACAGGGTTATCTTAGTCCACACTCAGATAATGTGGGAATTTTTGCCTTGATATTCTTGGATATAGGGCTGTGTGGAAAGGCCTTAAATCATTTGATCAAGAACAAACAATGGTTTTATTTAATAACTTAACCTACTTGCTTTTCTTTAATATACAGTAGACTCAAAGAAATAAGACTTAAAAAATTAAAATCAATTTTTATAATACAGTAAATCCAGTTTTTATATTGCAGTAAAATTGTGTTACATTCAGGGCCCTTCCATGCAGCCATATAACCCTGAATATCAAGGCAGATAATCCACAATATCTGCTTTTAACTGGATTATCTGAGTCCATACTGCAATATAATCCAGTTCAATTTGGATTTTTTTACAGCTGTGTGGAAGGGGCTCTAGTTAAGTTTGTCTTTTTAAAGTGTCTGTAACTTTCTACCCATCATTCCATCTGATACTGCTATTAATCATTCCTTGCCTTATTCTTCTTTGATAACACTGTTTATATTTTTAAATCATTTGCTTTCAAAATATTGTGTTTTTATGCATTTTGTTTACTGTTGAAATCCAGCTGTGGCGTGTGAAGAAAAATAATAAACTGAATAATGTTTTGTAGTCTTGTTTTCTTATAACATTTTTTTCATTTTATCCTAATGTGTGCATATAAATTGTATGGTGGAAATGGTTACTAGGTGAAGCTTGGAATTGGCTGTTGTATTAATCTTATTTTGAGCTTGGAATTTTAGAGGATGAATAACCTCTAATCTAATTCTGGGCTGACAATAAGTTAATGGTTTCCAGACACCACAGTTTGTCATATTTCATGAGGTGACAAATGACTCTTACAAAATTTTAATGGATCTTTCTGATTTTCTTCTGTTGTGCAAAGAAGAGGAAAAAGAGGCTATACAGAGCTCTGGCATGTATAATGACAAATAGTGTGTCTGAATTAAGTTATAATGTATGTGTTCCCATTAAAGGATCCTGATAAGAGTGCTTTCTCAGCTGATGTTTATTTTGAATTTCCTTCCATCCTGATCCCTAGGTTCACTTATAAGCCCCCCCCCCCCTCCTGACATCTTATTAGATAGCATCTTAATTTGGAGTTCCTCTGAAAGATCTTGAGGGGGAGAATGGGACACATGCTTTCTGGCGCTATCCTCTAATGGGAGGATTCACCATATTGGAAAGAATCTCATGTAGAAGGGAGATTTCTCTCTGTGTGCAACCTCCTATATGGTCTGAAATTCTCCTGCTTTATGGCTGATGTAAGGCTGGTGAAGGCGTGTCATGTAGACATGACCCACATTTCCCTTCACACAGTTGTTTATCATGTAAGGGTGAAACAGTAGAAATATAAGTCCTTGCTTCCACTAGTCTACTTGCTTGTTTCCTGTCGCATTCTAAGGTTTGTTACTTATGGGTGGAACTTGAGTCATAATTGTAACCCAACAAATGGAAGCAAGAGCCATGAATGGCATTGTAGTCTCAAATAGAACTTGATTCCTCCCAACCTCCTGCTTCAATGTGGGCACAATTATTCTTTGCAAGCCACCTAGTATCTAATAGGATTTCTTCCCTGTAAGACATTCCATTTGTCCTCCAAGACAGCTTGGTGCTGGGTTAGAGTAGGTTTTGTGGTGGCATGGAATATTCCCAAAGTCTCATGTCCCTTCTACATTGCCATATAATTCAGAATATCAAGGCAGTTAATCACAATATCTGCTTTGAACTGAATTATCTGAGTTTATACTGCCATATAATCCAGTGCAAAGCATATAATTTGGATTTTATACAGATGTGTAGAAGTTTGCAGCTTCTACTGAAACATTGGATATAGCCCTCAGAATTTCACTGTATGTCTTAAATGCATGTTGACTAGACTTAAAAAACAAAACAAAGCAAAGGCAATGCTGTGTTTACTGATTAGTTTAGAAATATGTGTGTGAGAGGCTCTTTCTATACTGCCATATAAAATCCAGAGTATCTGCTTTGATAATCTGGATTGTATGGCAGTGTAGAAGTGGCCTGAGAGAGACCAGGTTAGCATATTCATGTCTGAAATAAAAACTACTAAACTAATTTTTCAACCTAGATCTGACTGGCACTCAGATTTTCACAACATTGAGTTTCATTCACAATTGAATTACTATACTGGACTTGCTGGAAAATAATACTAAATGATGATGAATTTGATGGTGATGATTATTCCAAAAGTGCAAATGATGATTCACAAATAAAACAACAACAAAAACCAATCAACTTTACCAAAGTTCTAAAACAGATTTGGAACATGCTGCTAAAAAGAAATAAGTGCTGAAAAATAGAAGGAATTAGGTCATGCCAAACTTAAATGTTAAAGCAAGAAGATATTTATGATATTTGTATGATATTTTTATATCACCCCCGAACGTATAGTAGCTTCCAAAGCAAAGAAGCTTGTGTGTATGTGTTCTACTGATTTTATATGATCTATGTTATATCTTAATGTTTTTAACTATATTTTATGTTGTTGAGTGCATTGATTCTTGACTGTAAACTGCCTCAGGTCACCTTCGGGTTGAGAGAAGCGGTATATAAATATGTTAAATAAATAAAATGCATTGCCTTTTGACTCAGGGCGACTCCGTAATTTGCTGAATCCTAAAAAGAATAGCCAACCAATGAAGAGATGTCAAAGTTGGATAAAATCATGAGGGTTATTCTATTAGATATTAAATGCAAGAGTTTGGATGAAAATATCAAACTAGACATACTGTTTGGTTAGGGCCTGTTTGGCTAAATATGGTTTCATTGTTTTTGCAGATTCTACAAAGAAAATTAAGGATGTTTTGGAAGAATTCCATGGTAATGGTGTGCTAGCAAAGTACAATCCTGAAGGGGTAATTTTTCTCTCATTATTTAACTTTGAATAGTTGTGCCAGTTGCTGGGTTTAGGAGTTTCAGTATGTGTTCATCCTCTAAAAAACATTTTCCTCCAGAAGATCTGGACTTTGACAAATGTAATAAGTTATTGAAGTACATTTTCACTCAGGGAGTACTGCATATGTGGATTAGATGAGCAGGATTTTGACAGCTTTCTGAACCCTCAGTACTTAGTTTTTGTGTTATGTTCAATAACAATTTGTTCAGTGTGGTTGTTTTCAGCAGATCTAGTAAAGAGGCTGTGTGCTCCCCATTGGAACAAACTATTCATAGCACTCAATGATTCACTGTCTTTACCGAAGACCAATAAAATGGGAGAGCAGTGGTGGAATTAAATCTAAATGTTTTTATATTGTTACATGGGATAAAAATGATCAAATTTTATCCTTTTTGTGCTTGATCCATGGCTTTGCAGTTGCACTAATAAGACATGTTGAGATGTTTTTTCCACTTCAGAATTGCTTCCTTTGTAATTAAACTGAACTTTCAATTAAAAATATTATTGTAAGAATGTAGTTGAGAATTGGTATTACTGCATTAATATTATATATCTGTTTTTTCTTTCTTTGTATGCACTCCAGAAGCAAGATATTCTCAAACAAGTAAGCATCTTTGCTTTTCCTGAGATATCTGAAGAATGATATTGATTTGTCTGGCTCAACTGTGAAGTACACTTTAATAATAGCTTTGATTTTTTTCTAGTCAGATGTTTGTGAAAATTATATAGTTATTAAAATTGAGATAAACTTGTCTCATTTGAAAAAGTATCCCTAAAATTGTAAAAAAGGTCAAAAACAAGGATAGCTAAACTGTGGCATGGAAGTCACATGAGGCATTTTGATGATTATGTTATGGCTTTTTAGCAAAAATAAATAAATAAATCCTTTCCTTTGCAGCTCTTGGGATCCTTGATGATGGATTAGACAATTTAGCCCTTTGCCTAATTATTGGTTCTCTGCAAACCTCAATTTGACTGATGGGTGCCATTTCTAATTTTCTGCAATGATTTGCTTTTGGACAAAACATGACAATTGGTGATGGGCCCTGACGAGGATTTTGTTTTTGTGACGGCTTCTATTCCCTTCCAGTGGTTTCTGGAAGGTGTTCTTGGCAGCTATCATCCTTAGAATGTACTGAAGAGCTTAAGTAAACCTTCCTCATGAAATGGTGAAAGGGATTAAGATGATTTTGTTGCCACCACTATCAGTTCTTTTTCTTTTCTTTTCTTTTTTTGGCCAACAATTTTGCCAGTTGCTAATTCATTCTGTTGTGTAATGAAGGTCTATTGCTGGCATGAAAAGGAAAAGAGACAATAAACCTTGAGAAGTAGATTTGGGCAAAGCTGGGATAGCAATCAGAATGCCCTGTTAGCAGTCTTGGGCTAGTGACTTCTGCATCAAATGGCCCAGTGATAGTTGATTGGATAACTGGAGCCGCAGTGGCGCAATGGGTAAAACCCTTGTGCTAGCTGAACTGCTGAAGTTCAACAGTTCAAATCTGTGAGATGGGATGAGCTCCTGTCTGTCAGCCTCACCTTCCCATCTGGGAACATAACAGAAGCCTCCCACAGGATCATAACACACCCATGTGTCCCCTGGGTCATGTCTCTGCAGGCAGCCAGTTCTCTTACACCAGAAGTAACTTGCAGTTATCTCAAGTCGCTTCTGACACAATAAAAAAAATGATTGGATTGTATTCTTCACTTTAAAAGGAGCTATCCAGGTTGCTGATTCCTTCTACAAAATGGATGCAGTACTTGGGATGTTTTCTTTAAACCTTGTAATGAAACCTAAAGCAGATTCATTCCTCCATTGATGTGGGAGACACAAGCTGTTGCTGACTGAGGAAGAAAAACAAAGCAAGAAACTGAAATGGGGGTTAAATATTGTTTGGAGAATGTTAGTGGGGCAGCAGAGAGTTCCAGTTTTCAGTATCAAGGTAGTGGCATTATCACAAGAGGCCAAGTAGTGATACAGAATAGGTTAATTTAGCATACACATGTAAATTTGTTTGTAATGTTCATTCTCCTTCCAATTTGTATTATCTGTTGTCAGTTTTAATATATTTAAAATAAGGAGCACCGTAATTTTGGTTTGTATATTATTGCTGCTTATAGTCAGCCTCTTTGAATACTGTGGCAAAGCAAGTTGCACCAGTATTTCCCAACCTGGCACCCACAAATGTGTTGTACTACAAGTTTCATTTTCTGTTTTTGCTGGGAAGGATCGCAACTATATGCACCGGGATTGTGGCGCAGCTGGCTGAGTGTCAGCCACATTAACATCACTCTGACCAAAAGGTCATGAGTTCGAAGCCAGCCTGGGTTGGAGTGGGTTTCCAACCAATTGTGTGTAGCCTGTTGTCGACCTTTGCAACCCGAAAGACAGTTGCATCTGTCAAGTAGGAAAATAAGGTACCACCTAAAAGTGTGGGGAGGCTAAATTAACTGATTTATGAGGCCATAAAGAAGACTCCAGCAAAGCATTCCAGCGGGGAAGCATGTGGGGAATGCGGAAGTGCTTCATCAGCACCGCAGATGGATGACGAAAGCGACAGCTCCCCTGGCGGCCAGAAAAAAGTTAAATAGCCTCTGTGTATGTCTGTATATGTTTGTATGTCAAAAATTGGCATTGAATGTTTGCCATATATGTGTACACTGTAATCCGCCCTGAGTCCCCTGCGGGGTGAGAAGGGCGGAATATAAAAGCTGTAAATAAATAAATAAATATAATCAATATCATCTGGAAAGTGAATAAAGCAGATATTTTTGTTTATTAACTCTATATTTTTTCTACATGCCAAGGCCCTCATGTACTGTATATACATTATTCTTACTCATTCTAACAATTTCTGAAACAATTACAATAGAGGCATTAGACATTATTTTTCTTTATGGAGGGTGTAATTTTTACAATGTCTTCAATTTGTTGTTATCACTGTCTTCTGATTTCAGGTTAAAGTGAAAAAACAAACAAACATTTTAACTACCTTTTTCTTTTAATCAGACTTTTTTTAGCTTCTTATTTGTCCATAGGTACTCTAAATTTAATGTAATGTATTTGTCATGGTAGAATGAAACATATGAATGGTATATATTTTAAAGTACGGTGTCGGTTTTTTGTACTTTTGTACTTCCCATGGAGCACTTATTAAAAGTGCTGCAAGTATATTTTCAAGAGGTCATAACAAAAAACTCTCTCAAACCAACCATTTCAATTCTTAGGTATTCTAGTATTGCATTCTTGTAATGCAAAGTTATTAACTGGTCTGACAGAACTTTCAATTTCCAGTTGAAAGTATGTGTATAAAATGTCTTTATGTTTTCCTAAAATTGTCATTCTGTGAAAGATAAGGTTGAAATTAATATAAATGATATGCACTGTACCTTTAACATGTATATATAAAAGGCATCTCCCTCCCTCCCCCGGATACTAGTATTGCCACAGTTCATTCAGAGAGATTGACTGTAGATAAAAATGACTTGTTTCTATGTAAAATTTTGTTATCCGCTATCAAGTCATTTTTGACTCATGGTAATCTTAAGACAACCCTACCTTTTTGGCAAGATTTGTTCAGAAGGAGTTTTCTGTTGTCTTCATCTGAGGCCAGAAGAATGTAATTTGCCCAACATCAACCAAAAGGTTTCCATGCCCCAATGGAGACTTGAACTTTGATCTCCAGAGTCCTGGTTGAATGCTGAAACCACTATGCATATGGATGTATATTAAGAAAAGACAGTTTCCATACAATTGATTAATCTTTTTAAAATAATAATAAAGTTTTGTATTGATTGTAAAAGGAATTAAATCTTTGAAGACTTTGTTTAGTGAATAATCCTTATACAGTATTAGGATTTGTCCTGGGGGAATTTGATTGTTTCCTTCAAAGTCCTAGGAGATCATAGAAGGATGGGTAGATAAAAAAAACAATAAAAAGAAACCTAAGATTGATCCTATTCTAATAGCAAAATGTTTTATTACCATGGGGAGCATCCCAGTGACTGGTACATTTCCTGATCTACCATTATGTTTCAATGAAAGGCACTACAACAAGCCTCGACTGCTGCTTCTCCTCCTCCTCCCTTCCCCTGAGCGGAGCCGTTCCATGTGTCACCTGGAAGCAGAAGTGCCTTCGTTATTAGGCCTGCTCCTGGGGCTGTTTGGGGTGCTGATTCTGATTCTGAAAATTGCATTGGATAGACCACATCATCTCTATAGTATTAAATATGGTTTTCTGTGGACAAGCAGATTGTGACTACTAGATGTCATATGTTCTGTATCAGAAACTAGAGCTGATATGGTCTATCCAATGCAATTTTCTGAATCAGCACCCCAGATAACTAAATTGAATCTAAAGTTGACCAAACACTGATTCATAACCTTTCTGGTACTAATGTTGGAAAGTAATCTGTGGTCAAAGTGGCCCCTTGTCAAAGTGGCCCTTGGTCAAAAAAGGCTGGAAACCACTGGCCTATATGGACAAAATGTTACAAAATATTATTATTTTTGTCTAGGACTGTACAAACATAGCTAATTACCTATTTGTGTCTACAGACAATTGACCTAGAAGGTTTCAAGTTATTTATGAAAACTTTCCTGGAGGCTGATCTTCCAGAAGAATTTTCTGAACATCTCTTTATGTCATTTGGCAACAAAATGACTCATAGTAGTCCTGTTGTGAAGAGTAAGCCCCCACTCCTTCCAGGAGGTAAGTAGCCAGATAAAATATGGTAATGTTTGATGGTCAGATTCACTGTCTTTAGTGAGTTTTGACAAATAGAATGTTGACCTTTGCTCTGAGACTTAATAAAAACCATTATTGCTTTGTCATTTCTCTGTCTTTTTAAAATGCCTCATTCTTCAGTGAGCAGGAAAGTATTGGAGGAGGAAAATAATAGCTTTTGATTTAATCTGGACAGACACACAGAGAGAAACAAGAGTGTTAGCTGAATTGCTTGTTGTCTTAACAAAGAGTTCAACTAGAATAACTACAGAGGAACGATTTAGCATTCCCATCTTATATCCATTCACATTTCAATTTAAGTATTATTATTTTTTGGACTTATAATTTGAGTTTTGTGGCTGGTTAAGAAACTTTAGCTTTCTAGCAGAAGTGGATATTTTTTGTCAAGGCTAAATTTAAAGAAACTGCATCACGGTTTGTTGTGATGTGTGAATTTTTGTGACTTAAACTTCCTATAACTAAATGGATATAAAATTGGACAATTGATTTAATCCATTTTAATACCAAAAATGGGTATTGACGAATGCTATGGCTACAACAAAGACTGCTTAGTATAATAAGTAATATTATCGTCATGAATGATAACCCGTGGCCGAGTAAGATTGTTTTGGTGCTGGCTGTAAAAATCTGTTCTGTATCCACATGGTCTTTCACATTGAAGAAATAGATTTTTGGATGAAAGGCCATCATGTGCCTTCCTCTTGACACATTTCTTCCTTTCACCCTATATTAGTGCCTCTTCATAATCCATAGTTCTGTTGGTGACAACTAACCTCCAATTATTTTAAGTCTAATATAATACTGTCGTGTTTATTGTCATTTTAGGCTTGCGAATTGCTAAAAGTGTGACATCCCGACCCACAACTCCTTCAACTTTGCACATGCCAGACGTGATCCAGTTGAAAGATATAGTTTGTTATCTTTCCCTTCTTGAAAGAGGAAGACCTGAAGACAAACTAGAATGTATGTATGTTATGTCAGTCAAGTAAACACTGTTTTTAAAGACAATCTCTGTTCAACATTTTCTGTCACTTGCTACAAAACAACAGTCCGTTTGGATTTTTTCATTGGAAATTAGAGGCATAAGGAATGTTTTGGATGCTTCATTAGTTCTTTATCTACATTCAAGATCTAACAATTCATAGATGAACTTTTCTTTAACAGCTATATGAAATGATTCCTGAAACCCCAAGTAACTTTCTCTTCTATTAAATTGTCAAATGTTTTTCATGACTTGTTACTTCTAAACAGTGCATTTGGGATAAGTCAAAAAGTTTTTCAACCAGATTTGTAAGTGATTCATGAATTAGGACCTCATAACATGGGGCATTTTTACCCCGTTTTCTGCTTTTAATCATGCCAAGGATGGGGTTTCCCATCTAGTGTCATACGACGCATGCCAGGCCCTGCCCACATTCCTCCCAAAGTGCAGGAGAAGTACTGAAAAGTACTTTCTCCTCCACGATGGGGAAGAAAGTGTAGTTTAGGTACGTAGCTCCAATGGAGCTACCCATACTTTCCGTTCAATTTCCTTGTGTGATGTCAGAAAGGGTGGTGGAGCAATGTGCGTTGCTGCACATTGCTGCCCTTTCTGCTATCTGATGAGTGGAGGGAAAGGGTGCCAAAACACCCTCTCCCATTTCCTCCATGTGATGAGGGGAAGAAATAGGGTGCACAGGGCACCACAAACCACCCTGCTCACCTTCTCTTTCATGTAGCATTGGAAACGGCTCTTGATTTGGTATCTGCTATCATTCTGATTCAGGGATCCACATGCACTATCAGTAAGCTGGCTTGTGAGAAACTCTTCAATTGTTATGCACATGTATGCTGTCCATTAACTAAAAGGCATTTTGATGTAACCATATGCGAACTGACATATTTAATTGTTAACACACATGACTTACCCTTATAAATAGATTCATGAGGGAATAGAGGAAATAGAAAGCTGCAGAAAGAGCAAATGGGTTGTGTGCCTATCAGTATTTACAGAGTTTGGCATTAGAAGCTAAAAGCATGACAAATTAACTGATTTATCACTGCCTTTCTGTGACTAAGGCTATGCAATTTGCAGCACCAGAATTCAGTGGAATGTAATTTAGTGTGTAGTGCAGAGAATCACAATTGGTTTACAAAACTTGCTGTATCAGTGACACTTTGAGATGGTTCAGATGTGCCCTCTTCCAACTCTATGATTTTATGTAATATCAAACTACAGTTTAATTTTTTTTCATTTGGTTCATGCATTATCCCATCCTGATTTTTTGCCAGTGAGTCCTCAAGGGGGATCTTCTGTTTTGATTAACTGCAGCTTTTTGTGTTGGATGAACTGAACAAAATCCAATTAATCTAAAATACAATATTATAAACGAACTGATTGGAAACCATTATACTTGAAGCTGCCTTATTTTCATGGAGCATTATGATGATTGACTACATTTTAGCTCAAAGATGCAAACTTTTCAGCTTCGAGTGTCATATATGATGCAGGCAATCATAAATATGCTCTCACACACAACTGTACAGACACATATACATGCACACATCTCAGCAATCCTTTTTCTTTCTGGGGAAAGCAGGGGGAGTGCAGAGCATCCAGAGATAACTGATATGAGGATCACTGGGGGAGATCATAGGCTTCTCTCTGCTTGGCCCAGAGATCCTCACTATTAGTACCCACTGGGAATCAGCATATACAAAATCCATCAGTGTTGGGTAGAATTTAGTTGCATTGGGATTGATTCCATTTAAAGTGTCAAGGGAGGTGTGATGTGCACTTATGGTCAAGAGTTTTAATGTCTTGCTAAAATGAGCCTGATGTAAGATAGATAAGGGGCAAAAAGAGTCGTGTGAACACTCCTGAAAAAGCAGCAAGGGATGTTGAATTGCTTGTGGGAAGGGGTGAAGAAGCTAAAGGAATATACTCCAGTCATTTATAATTCTGTACTGAGAAGATAAAGAATAAAAACACACCATTCTGTTGAATTATTTATTGAAGAACTACATGATGAGAGATTTAAGAAGTGGGACTCAGGTCTAAACACAAAATTAGTTTATATTTCACATGCAACTTATACATAAAGCTTTAATTTTTACAGAATATTTTAATAACTTTGTGTATGGGACAATGTTTGTATACATTGAACTATGAGAAATTGTGGTGTTACTACCTCACCATCCATGTGGACGATTTTGGATTTCAGAATTCTGGATAAGGGATGCTCAGTTTGCATGAATATAACTCTGGCAAGATTTTCTGATATTGTGAAATTCCCTGTTGCTGAATGTACAGCTATTACATGTTTTAAAGAAGTATAAGAGTATGTATCAGTGTTTGATATTGTTCAGGTCTATATTCAATCACTTCAATTTTAGTACTATAATTCATTTTAATGTCAAAAGTTCCTGTGCTGTTCACCATTTGATAGTAGTTGCTTTGTATTTGATATTTGATTTGAAACTCACTTACTAGCCCATGTGGAATTAATGAAATGCATTCTGCTTCTTACCTGTTTTTTAAAGGGCTTTAAAAGAAAAAGGACCAGGTGCAGAATACATGACCTGTATATTATCAAATGTTGATGTGTGCTACACTCCACAACATGTTTGACAAATGTGAAATTGATATGGTCCAGATTCGGTTAGAGTTCAAAGAAATGAGTAGTATTTTAAAGAATGCAACTATTCCTTTTCTTAAAATGCAAAAGCACACTCAAAGAGCAGGTAAAGTAGGAAGGCTACCATACCTAGGGAAGAAGCCTGTTAAAGAAATCCATAAAAATATTGAACATTCTATACTAACTATAACCTAACTATAACCTAAAGCACTGCAGAGCCCTTGGATTTTACTACAAGTTATAATTTTGCTTGTTTATTAAGGGTCAAGGTATATAACCTTTTGGGTGGTTTGAATCTTTGGTAACAATGTACATTATTACTGTGCTCTGCTGTGAAAATGTAGACGATAGGCTCTATCTGCTGGTGAATTAGTTTCATTGCAAGTTGAGAGAAATCAGGCAGATATTTTTCAATACCAATGGCAATTCATACTTAGCTAAAATATTTAAATTGGTAAAACAGTTAATCTTTCAAAGGTGTTGATGATGGCTGAGATGATATTTTATTCAGCTGAGTTCATTTTTTAGTATTTGCATAGCATGTCTCTAGAAATTCATTTTTGTATATTAAGATGTGGAAAAGAAAACAGAGTTTTGAAGGAATTATGTCAGATTTGGGCAAACTTTGACCCTCCAGATGTTTTGGACTTCAGCTCATACAATTCCTAACAGCCAAATTGTGAGAGTTGAAGTCCAAAACACCTGGAGGGACAAAGTTTTCCCGAGGCTGGTTCACACAAGCTATTCTCATTGTCATTGTTTATTGCAAGATTAAAATGGAAATACATGCCATTTTTTCTTTAAATGATGTTTTTATTATTTTTTTTTCTCTAGTTATGTTTCGCTTGTATGACACAGATGGAAATGGTTTCCTGGACAGCTCGGTAATTTTATTTTTTAATAGTAACGTTTATTGATGCAACAATTAAGCCAAAAAACTAAAATTGAAAATCTCTGAAGTTGTTCATGCCAGTTATACTGAAGACAATTTAATCAAAGCTATTGAACTGGATCCAGTTCAATAGATTTCAGTGAGCACTTAAGTGCAGCTAATTTTGATTGGTGTGTTTAAATAAGCATATTTTTCTCATCAGTGATATGGTAACTTCTTATTCCAAGTATTCTAAAAATGTCTAAGATTTAATGTTGATAGTTGCAGCATTAGTAATATATTTGCACATAACCTCAACAAATTGACTTGAATCCCAACTTCCCCTTTGTCCCCCAAATAATGGTTTGTACTCTCCCATTTCTTCCTGCAATTGGTTGAAAATCTGAAAATCTTCTCCTAAGAGGTTGGAGAAATTTCTTGACAGAATAGTTTGTTGAACAGATTACTACTGAAGAAAGGATGAAGCATTACAAATTGGAGTTTTATCTTGCATTAATCGAAATATTTTCCCCTAAAACCAACAATATATTTGGAGTCAAGGTAAAAGAAAAGAAATCCATTTAAGGAAGCAACTTGTGTGTGTGCTTGTGTGTGAAGCAACAGCAAACAATATTTATTTAAACCGGTTTTTTTCCTACTACTGTAATGCTAGTGATCAAAAACCAGGACAATCAGAACAGTGTAAGGTCCAAAGTGGTGGTTTGCTAACTTTGGGCTTTTAGATCGCACACCAGTTCACAGAATTGGCCAATCTGGAAAACTTGGCTGGGGCTTCTGGGAGGTTAAGACCAAAACACCCAGAGGATTAAAGTTTATGTTTTGTGAAGATACACATATGGCATGAATAAATAAATAATTGTAGATGAAATATGAGTTGCATGCATACAGTAAAATTTTTATTTCATTTTTTGGATATTGCAGCCATAGCAGCTGCAGCACTATAAGGTTGAGGGGCATCAAATTGACTCCTCACCAAAGTGGCTATTCAGATTTCAAGGAAACCCCAGTTGAACCAATGAGAACTTATCTTGATACACGAATATACAGACTTTTGGGCAAAGGTCATTTTTCTTTGGAGCACAGCAGGAAGAATAACCTAGGATTCCAAGGATCCTCGTGGCTCCTATTTACATAATGTGGACCTTTACACAAATAGCAGCGTGTCAAGTTTGTAATTACAGTAGAGTCTCACTTATCCAACCTTTACTCATCCAACGTTCTGTATCCCACCCAGATCCACAGCGGTTTCAATACATTGACATGTTTTGGTACTAAATTCATAAATACAGTAATTATTACATTACATTACTGTGTATTGAACTGCATTTTCTGTCGATGTGTTGTAAAACATGATGTTTTGGTGCTTAATTTGTAAAATCATAATGTAATTTGACATTTAATAGGCTTTTCCTTAATCCCTCCTTATTATCCAACATTTTTGCTTATCCAGTGTTCTGTGGGCCCGTTTATGTTGGATAAGAGAGACTCTACTGTAATACTGACTCCAGGACAGAGCTGTATCATCTGGAACTCTCAATATATTTTTAGACTATAATTGCATCCAGAGCTATTATTTTCTCCAATTGTATAATCTTGTTTGATTCTGTGCCCCCACTTTCTTTGTCCGTTCTGAGATTTCTGTATGAGAAAATGAATTTTGAAATAATTGCTTTACAAGAAATAGTCCCAATATAAAATGTTCCTTTTAGTTTTCATCAGAATAATTCACTTGAATTTCAGAATGGCAATGGAAGCTATGGGTGATTATGCTTAATTCAGAAGCTTTTTGCATTTTGTTTTCATGCCCAGGAGCTGGAAAACATCATCACTCAAATGATGCATGTTGCAGAATATCTTGAATGGGATATCACTGAACTCAGTCCAGTAAGCATTTCTCCTGAAGCCAATAGTTTTATTAATAATGACAGTATGTAAATACTATTTTGAATAATGTGATTTAGATCTTCTTGTGGTGAGGTGTCTTGTTTTGAGGGCAGGGAACAGCAGAGTAAATAAAAAGGACAAATAAATTGTAAATACTAGAGATTAAACGAGGAAGGGGAGTAAAGAGGTGTGACCCCAATAGAACAGAAAAGAATAATTTTATTGTCATTTTACATTGTACAATGAAATTAAATGTTTTCCCCAGAACACATAACAAAACAACACACCCATCCCTCTGCACTCCCACCACACGACACAGCCCCCAATGCCACTCAGTACAAAGCCATTGAATTCAATATAGGAACAAAAGTTGGAAATCTTTGGTCATGAAATATGCTTATTGCCTCTTCAGTGTTTTAAAATAGAAGGCATCTGCTTCAATGGCACAGGGCTTTTATCCTGGTGTTTAGATACAAAAGAAAATACAAGTATGACAACTTTAATAGCTGTATAGAAGCAAAAATATTGCCTTCGTAATGTGCTGAATTTTATGCAACTGTTATATTCCTCTTTGGTTTATAATAATGTAATAATATAACTTTATTTATAGTTCTGATCATTTTACTTGTATTTTAAAATTTGGACTCACAGGAGAATTTTATCTTGGCAGAGTTAATAACATATTGGGGAATGTGTCAGCCTTCAGGATAGTAATGAACTGCTACTGTCATCATCCTTTCTATTGGATTGGATGACTGGGGCTGTTGGAAATTTGTGTCTCATAACTTTTATAGGGTGAAAAGTTCGTCTTGATGCAGTCTGGTAGAAATATAGTATATACTTATATCCACAAGTTCCTACTTGTGGATATAAGATTGTAAAAAGCCAGGATTTATCTTCTATAAAATTTTAATAGTTATACTAATTCTTATTATTTTCTTAAATTTAGTTAATTATGTAGATATGTAATTAAGGAAAGATTTTTCAAATGGGGGAATTTCCAGTTTTCTGGTCAAAATTTCTACAAGCTCACGGTATTTTGTTTAAAAACTATTGGAAGATGAGGAAAACACATTAATACCACAATATTAGAAAAACATACAAAGGGCATAGTCACAATGACTTTAACAGGGCTTGTGCCAGATTGCACTGTACATATTTATTGTAAAGGGAAAATGTAAGTAGTTATTTAAAAATTGCTTTATGTATTATGTACAAAAATATGTTAATGTCATTCTAAAGATTTCAGATAAGATTGTACACTTTCCGTTTCCTGGTTAATAAGACCTCTACATATTGCCATGGACAGTTGTTTCATCAAATGTAAACATAATTCTTTGAAATATGTTGTTTCCTTTACTTTATGCTTTATTTTTCAAAAAAAATTATTCAACAGATCCTTCATGAGATGATGGATGAAATTGACTATGACCATGATGGCACTGTGTCTTTGGAGGAATGGATCCAGGGGGGGATGACTACTATCCCTCTTTTAGTATTGCTTGGATTGGAGAATGTAAGAGCTTACACATTTACACTCAAATGATAAATATCAGCAGTAATAGTGAAACTGTATCCATTCTCTAGATTTTTTTTCTGTCTTACTTGGTGGGGGCCCACCATCACATTGATTATATCCTCCAATAATGATTTAGCCAACGTAATGAGTTTGGAACTTGATTTTCTAAGAACTGCTATCCTCAGGCTAAAAGGACTTATGATCATATCATCCCAATAAACCTGAATATTAGAAAATATTGTAAGGGAACCCTACTTATCCATAGGAGACATCTGATTGTGAATAGTCCCCAACAAAGTTCTTGCTTCTTCATTCAGGATGCTGTAACATATGATGCAGCTATAATCTCTGATCAAGAGAAAGGTATTGTTGAGACTAACAGTGTGTACCTATTTCCAAAAAGACCTTATCACAATGGGATGTAATCTGTTTATAGCAGTATGCATCCCATATTTTTTTAGGACAGGATGTATACTGTATTGAAATGGGATGCATACTGTTCCCATCACACCTGGTTATTATGATTTGAAAACACTGCACTTTGACTCATCACACTACCGAAGGCTGGGTCCTCCCAATCTATTCTAAACACCCCCTACATCACTCTATGACTTTTTAAAAAGTATCATTGATGATGGGATACATATGGATTTTCCTATCAGACACAAAAATAGCTCTTCAGCAATGAAATAATCCGTAGTATTTCAAAAAACACAATTAGAATTCCGCCTGCAAAGAATCTGTTTTTTGTGATGCTTTGCAGACAGATTCTGATGAAATACTGATGGGATGGGGCAAATGTCATGTGATGGGACCCTTTCAAAATCATTCTCAAACAGTCCCAGAAATAGAGTACACTGATATTTTCTTTAATGAATAAATCCCCTTAATGTTATGGAGCATGTATCCAAGGAAGTAATACACTATGTTACCAGAATACACTATGTTGCTTAGTTTCCAACAGACCTCACAACCTCTGAGGATGTCTGTCATAGATGTTGGTGAAAAGTCAGGACAGAATGCTTCTGGAACATGTCTATACAGCCCAGCAAACTCACAACAACCCAAAACAGTTTTAGCCTGCCTCTAGAATGACAGCAGGGAGGGGGTCTGGGTAAGGAGTTCCAGAGTCAAGGGGCAATCACCGAGAAGATCTGCTTTCTCATTCCCACCAACTGAGCTTGAGATAGAGTTGGGACTGAGAGAAGGACCTCTCTGGAAGATTTCAGGGCCTGGGCAGCTTCATACAAGGGGTGTAGTTAGCCAAATAGCCTGGACCTGAATCACCTAGGGTTTTAAAAGTCATAACTAGAAGTTTGAATTGTGCCCAGAAACAAACTGGCAGCCAGTGGAGCTGCTGCAACAGTTGGGTTGTCTGCTCCCTGTAGCTAGCCCCAGTTAGCAACCTGGCTGCAGCTCTTTGGACCAGCTGAAGTTTCTGAGCACTCTTCAGAGGTAGCCCTATGTAGAATGCATTACCGAAATCCAGATGGGATGTTACTAAGGCACCGTGTACCACCGTGGCCAGATCTGGTTTCTCAAATATAAGAGAGATACAGTGGCCATTTTTATAGGGAAGACAGGCTTCTACAGTAAGTAAAAAGTTTATCTGTCATTTGAGATAAGCCTTTCGAGCCTCTGTTACTGCCTAGGGTTAAACTAAACAAAGTGTCTTGAAAGCTTGCATAATGTGATTTGTGCAGTTTCATTGGCCAATATGTTTTGTGTTTTTCCTTTCTTAAGTTTCAGAGTATGATATTACTGTCAGCCTTCCACAAGGTCACCACAAAAGTGAAAAGCCACATATTAAAAAAAATACGTTTTTCGACCTGACTGAACACATTTCAAGGAATCCTTAATGGAAGCTGACCATAGAATCATACTGAGGGAGCTAAATATTCCGAGATAAAATGTTTTAGTGAAATCCACAAATGATCAAATCTACAAAAGTCAACCTGCAAATGTGCTTTCTGCATTATAGAAACTTCAGAAATAGTGTAGTATCAGTGAGAGCTTGGATAGTGAAGTGGTTTGATTGTTAAACTAGGATTTCAGATCACTATGAATGGAAACCTAGTTAGCAATGGAAAATTAATGGATGACATTGGGCAATCATATTCTTTTAGCTTAAGAGGAAGATAACGATAAGTAAATATTGTCAAGAAAATCCTATGATAAGATCACCATAAATTGCAATCAGCTTTGAAGGTACATAATAACAACTATTGTGGAGAATCTGTCTGTCTCTCTACATTTTCTATGAAAATATGTTACCCTGTTACTGGCAAGAAAAAATTCCTAATTTGTGTTTTAATCCCAGCCACTAGATGTCAGAGTTGCACCACATCAATTGCTTCTTTATTGCCAAAAGGTGATATTTCAAAGCCTTTAATATATGTACTTGTAAAAAGTAATCCTATGATCCTCTCACTTAAAATTACCACCCTAAAAAGACCGCCTTCCTATGAAAAATGTAGATTCAGAATACAGACAATTGTTACTGCATTTGTCCAAACAAATAAGGTTGATTCTGCAGAGTGTGCACTCGCTCTGGAACGATCAGCATCAGTCTCTCATTATATCATGGCCGGTATGATAGATAGTTCAACCTTGCTTGGTAGGAAATATATTTTAATGAATCTCTGGAAGACAATTAGTGTACATTGGAGACTCTAAAATACAACATGGTACATTAATAAATCGTGGGCTGATTTCCCAAATACTTTGTCAGTTTCAATGAGGCTTAATCGAAGAGCATGATTCCCATTTCTAAAGAAGCTTGCTTTAAGGGAGAACAAACAGCGTACAGTTCCTTGGATTTTCCACAGGAGGGAGCAACTTTAATGCTTTTGGAAAATAATTTTACAGAAACCATCCTAGTGGGCTGTTGAATTCCATATAGATATGGGATGTTGCCAACTTTACAGCTGAGAAAAATGGAGCAGGAATAAATGGGGGTAAAAAGGGTGTGAATTAATAGATATGGATAATGGACATCCAAGAACACACAGACATACCCATATACTCATGTATACATTAAACTTATGTATATGTTTAGGAAATGTTTTTGATTAAACATTATGGATTTTGATATGACCACTGGATAAGTCAAGGATCATTCTGCAGGAAGGGGAAAGCACCAATGCTACTACCACAATTTTCTTATCTAGGCATTAAATGACCCCAAAAGCAGTGTGGTGGTAGATGGAGTAGAGGGTTTGGTGCTTATTTTAGGTTCTCATGGGATGAAATAAGCTCTTAGAATCATAGAGAATAATAGAATCATAGAATCAAAGAGTTGGAAGAGACCTCATGGGCCATCCAGTCCAACCCCCTGCCAAGAAGCAGGAATATTGCATTCAAATCACCCCTGACAGATGGCCATCCAGCCCCTGTTTAAAAGCTTCCAAAGAAGGAGCCTCCACCACACTCTGGGGCAGAGAGTTCCACTGCTGAACGGCTCTCACAGTCAGGAAGTTCTTCCTCATGTTCAAATGGAATCTCCTCTCTTGTAGTTTGAAGCCATTGTTCCGCGGAACTTCTTGAACTTTACTACTCTAGTCAGAGAAGGGAATAGCTCCTTTTTGTTATATGAGTTCAGGTACTGAATTTAGGCTTCATCTACACTGCTGTATACTCCAGTTTCTGATCCCAGGTTATCTGCTTTGAACTGGATTATATGGCATTGTAGATTCATAATCCAGTTCAAGGCATATAATCTGGAATCAGATACTGGAGTATACGGCGGTGTAGATCCAGCCAAACATTAACCTGTGGATAAGTCAATCGACGTTTTGGGGGGTTGATTTTTTTTTACCAAAATGTCTAGACTTATACCAGAATAAATGCAGTAATTGTTTATGACAATTTTTGTGTGTTTTTTTTATTTTAGGAATTAAATTGCATATTCACTATTATATGATTTAGCCATTCACATAAGAATAAAATATAATTAATATTTACAACAATTAATATAACTGTAGCAATTAACATATTATTTGACAGTAAAACTAGAGTAAAATTTTAATATGATATTTCCAAAGTGTATTCTATTTACATAATGGAATTTGTAGATTGATTGCAGCCTGCAAGTTACTTAAGTATTTTAATTGGCAGAACACCCACATTCAAGACTTGTTTGTTTCTGCGATAAGGAAAATGCCAGCTAAGTCGGTCCATATGTTCTGCTCAAATGGAGGCGAAATCACATGTAGCGGCCATTCTTCTGGGTAAATGGGAAAAATTAAGCTACTGTGAAATTGCCAATATATCTTTGTTAAGCATATCATGTTGATTTTGAAATAATAATAATAATAATATATTTGTGAAATTCCTGAACTTCTTGATGGTGGCTATTTCTATGCCTCTTGCATTAAAAGTTGCAATTTTATATTAATTCAGATGTATTCATTATCTAACTAAATCTGTTGGAGACCTTGGAAGGTCAACAAAGAAAAAGAGCATTGTTTTTTTAAAAAATGCTTTAATATATAGGAAGGAGCACATAGTTTTATAAATGTAGCCAAATAAAAAGTTATGCATGCAGATAGGTTCTGGGCCCTTATCATTAATGCAATGAGGGATAAAATACATGATTAATGACTCCATATTGTGTATTCAGATCATAATATTTTTTTTCCAATTTTAAAGATTTTGTTGCAGTCTTTGCCACAGGTGAAAAGGTTTTGAAAATATAATTTTGGAGGCAGATGAGTGGGAAACAAAGCATCTTGTTACCGTATCAGTACATGTCTGTTGTGAAAAGTTATATGGTGATCTCCTGAAAATTAATAAATGAAGAAACAGATTGCCTTTTATGTTCCTGAGTCAATTTCAGTTTTTTATTGGCACTTATAGGGTTTGCTGTTTATGCCATTCAGTGAGATCCATTTCTTTTTATGCCTTCTGCAGAATGTGAAGGATGATGGGCAGCATGTGTGGAGACTGAAACACTTCAATAAGCCTGCCTACTGTAATCTATGCTTGAACATGCTTATAGGAGTAGGGAAGCAAGGTCTCTCTTGTTCATGTAAGTATATACCACACTTATCCCTGGCTAAATCTAAAGGTTACCTGGATCTAATTAATCAATATAATCAGAACAGAAGAGTCCTCAAACTTTTCTTATTAGTGAGTATCCTTAACAGAAGAAATTAAAAACAATTAAAGCAGTATTAAACAACAAAGAACCACAAGCAATAAACAATACATCAACAAGATAAAAAAAACTGGTCCGGGCCAGAGTGAAGGGTACATCTGTGGGAGCATTAAATGTATCCCTGATCCTCTTCCTTTGTTGCTCCTCATCAGACTCCTGTTCCCGAGTAACCCGTTTTCCCCTTCTAGTGTCCAAACTACTGTTAGCATTGTTACTTGCAGGCTCTATTACAACACTTGCCCATAAAGAAATCCAGATAAAAATGATGTTGGATGAAATAAAAAACTCAGGAGAGAATATTTTCTATTGTATGGAAAGTAGTTAGGTTTGTGATAACTGCAATTTCCCTGATGAATCAAAGATATTAACAACAATTGCTATCTGGAAACAAGGCTAATCAGCCATTTAAGACTGATAAATCAATAGAGGGAATAACATAAACTCACTGCGTTTTGTGACATAAACTCACTGCGTTTTGTGTTCAGGTTTGCCAGCTGCTCTTATGCCTATAGTTTGTAAAGTACAGATTTCTTCCTCTTGGCAAATGATACAAAAGCATTTGGCAGTCAGTAGTTATATATATATATATATATATATATATATATATATATATATATGGATTACCATGAACATTTTAGTGGGTTAATTAAGCATTTCTTTCTCAGCTATAGAAGCATATTCTTAGACTCTTCCTATGCCTTATTCAATGACCTTTCACAACAAGCTTGGGCCTGAATCAGTTTGACCAAAAGTTATTTGTAATATTCAGGGGTCCATTTTGCTTTTCTCATCCTAGATTAGACATCATCCTAGTTTAGCAATAGGTCTGATCTAAATCCAAGAAAATGGAGATGAGGGAACCAAAAAGCTCAGCAAAATGGATCAAGATAGACAGATTTATCAGCTACTGGAGAAGAGGGAGTGAAGTTTGCATTATACCTGAGGCAGAGGTCTGCCATGGAGCTCATGGAGAAGATCCTGCAGCATCTTTTTTCCCTCCCTGGCAGCGGAAAAGTTCTTTAGGCTTCTCCTCCAGAGAGGGCCCTGCTGGGAACTCGCTTGCCCAGCAGCACTTGCATGGGGCAGGCATTGAAAAGTCTCTGAGTTACTCTTGAAGCATGATGGGAGTTGAAGTTTCTCTTTGTGTGTGTTTCTTGGCCAGAGATTGGCTGAGAATGGACACAACCAGTGATTACAATTTCCAGAACCCTCTTTTGAGGTTTTTCTTATTTTAAAAAATGTTATGGTAAAAACTTAAAATAATCCTTAAAAAATCAGTAGATTGATGAATTGTTCTGAAACTTGGCAGGTCTTCAGTTGTAAATTCGGTCTGAGGAAGGTTTCATGCAAATGGGCCTTAAAATGACTGAGGACTGAGCTTTTAAAGTTTCCCATTGTAGCCAATGTGTTGAGTCTTTGCCGAATGAAAACAGCAACACTCCTCCCAATTCGAGTAACTTCCAGTAAACAGAATGAAGGGTTAGCCAAAAATGGACCCCTAAAAGGCTGAACTGCACATCTGTTTTTCAGAATAAATGCCCAAACTTACATTTCCATAGTTCAATCACAGAGTAGCAAAATCAGAAACTAAAGTGGATTTTTATTAATCGTTTAGCAAAAATTATTGGAAAAATACTAACAATACATTTATTTTATGTTCTTTCAGTCTGTAAGTATACAGTCCATGAACGCTGTGTTGCAAGAGCACCAGCTTCTTGTATCAAAACATACGTGAAATCCAAAAAGAATGCTGAGGTAAGCAAATACTTGCATTTACAACTTTTGTGGGTGTATGGCCTAGTTCATACTAATGATAGCTAGCAGAGCTGAGTCCCATATGAATCTGTCAATATGCCTGGAATGTACTTAGTCCTAATCCTTTTTTATAGTGGGTTTAAACCACTTCAATTGATGTGTAGCAATAGCAAATTCCCAGATTAGTTTAGTGTTTACATCTTATTTTTTGTTTTCAATATTTAATGTTACTTTTACTTAAGTAATATTTGTCTTTGCTATTCGAATGTTGCACAAATCATATCTAAAATCATACTATGTATTTTGCCATTAATAATGAAATATGAAATATTTACAGAAATTGTGCTAGCAATTTCGTAAGGCAGTTGCCTAATGTTCTTTCTGTATAATATGTGTTGGACATAATCTTGAACATGTTTTGAGGTTTGGGGAACTTAATATTTAGGGACTGCTATATGTCCTATCTATCTAGTAGGTCACAATATTCTGAAATGGACAATTCGACATATCTTTGTATGTGCCTTCTACATGTTCCATTGCCATGAGCATATCATAACCTGGTGGTGTTTATACTTGGAGAACCTCTATGCTTCTTCAAAAAATAGTCCATTGTTTGGGACTGATTTATCTCACTGGCTGTTTGGGTTCCCTCAGTAACTTTACTACTGACATGACTAATGCTCTTATTGGAGCTTTGACTCATAGACTTGCCTGACCTCTATAGATTCTTTTATATTGCCTGTTCCCCCAGTTTCTGTGCACCTTCACTTTATGGGGAGAGATGGAAGGCATATAAAGAGAAAAATACACTTAATTCTAAAGACACTTCATCTATTCAATACATTTTAAAGGTTATTTCTTTCATGGTATATTAGATGCCAGATTAAACCTTGCTTATTGCAATTTCTCTAGGTTTTACTTGCTATAACTACAGCTTACCAGTTGACTCCTTTTTCTTGGTGTTCGTTTATTTGGAATTTTAGATATTTAATTTTATTGCAATTTAATTTCCATATATGATTTTATATTGCATTGAAAACATTGCTTGAAAAGTGGTTCTCAAGTGAAAATAAGCAAAGTAAGTTGACTTCTGGATGAATTTTCTTTTCTAGGTTCTGCATCACTTTTGGGTAGAAGGAAATTGTACAACAAAATGTGATAAGTGTCATAAAACAATAAAATGTTACCAAGGGTTGACTGGGTTACACTGCGTCTGGTGTCAGATCACGGTGAGTACTTTGCGGTGATAACAATAACAGTAATTGCATAACTTAAACTATTTCAGCATTGCCTATGGCTATTGTTTATGAAATCTCGCTGTTATATGCATAAGTACAGCCCCTCAACAAACTGTTACAGTCCATCCCTCATCTGCACCCTATGTGATCTTGCATCTGAGAAGACTGGGAAAACTGTTAGCAACAAAGACAGGAATCTGCTCATTTTTTGCAGCTGTTATGGCTCAGATGATGGGAGCTGAAATCTGGATAGATATGGAAAGCTACATGTTCCTCATTGCTACTTTTAATATATAGATGTACTTCATTGCTGTTATCAATTTGTTCCCATTTTAACCATCATGGATCCATCCCAAAGAGTTTTAGGTTCTTTAATTTGGTGAAGTCCATAGAATTTCTTCTAGAGAGTTCCATCTATTTGCCCATAGCGTAGACACCACAGAATTAAACTGATTTAGCCTTTAATTCCTCTTCTCAGGTTATCTTTTGAATTTTAGTTCTGTGGGGTGCTCTGAAGCTGTTGTGACAGAATTCTGTGCCTTGTCAAACTAAAAATTGAGGAATACTTTGATTGGAAGCATGTCAGCTAAAGTGGTATTGAAATTGTATAACTATGTAGTGCAGATGCACCTTAAGGTTTTAAAATGTTGTTTTTAGCTATGGGTCAGCATAGAAGCAGCTCACTCTCTTCTGCTTTTGAGAATAAGGTCTTTGCACATCTTTTTCACATATTACTCTCTCTCTCTATATGTCTATAAATTCTAGTCAAAAAATCAATCCAAAAAACCTGGGTCAACATATCCAATATCTGTGTGAAATCTGTACCTGAATTCTTATTTTTGTAAAAATGGAACTTTTCCCTTTTCTGAGTAGAGTGGCCAAAGACAAGAGCATTGTCTGTCCTTGAAGAACCTCAGAGAAGCAGGACTCCCTTAGTACCACTTCTAGCTTTTCTAAATGCCCGAACAGGGAAAGGTGGTAGTGGCCACAGGCAGCTTTCCTTTTCTGCAGAATGACTCTCAAATCAACAAAAAATGTTTTATTGCAATTGAGCATTTAACTTCTGTCATTCTTTACTTTACTTCTGTATTTGTAGCAATGTAAATGTTTGGGAAACAAGACTTCTGGTTTCAGAATTTCTATTATTAATTTTCTGCAGATCACAAATCAATGCTGAATTTTACCATTAGTGATCCTTGTGTTTGTTCATTTTTTAGCTATACCTTTAATTATATGAATGACAAACTGCAAAAAATGTATTGGGAATTTTTTATAGCTGCAAAAATCAACTATGTTGAATCTGTGAGATTAAGACAAAATCATTCTACATGTTAACACAAAATACCCCAAACCACAACTTCCTACTTTTTGGTGTGAAATCTAGTAACAGACAACTGGGTATCTTCATTGCTTTTCAAATAGCTGAATGAAACCAAATCAGAAGTTTGGATGGAAGTGGGGTGAATAACTGTCTAATAATTATCTTGACTTATGTATTATTTGTGGCCACTAATGGAAAAATATTAGCAAGAAATCAAGATTTCTGATGCAATGGAAGAAATATGTGCTTCTTCCTACCATATATAACTTGATTGCATAGATTTCTACTCAATCCAGGGTACTTTTAAAGTAGAGCACTAGATATTCAGTTTGCATCAAATCTGTATCAAGTTAGTAGTGATTATATCTGAAGGCATGCCCTGATGTCTCATTTTGGCTTTTCAACCATTGTTCACCTAAGTTCTTCTTGCTAGAAATGTTCTTTCCAGGGCACCAGATTCTCCACCCTGCTCTGCTTCCCTACTGTCTTTTTGATCATCCTTCCCCCCTATACTAAGCTTCTTATTAACTTTCGGCTCTCACTGTAATAACTAATTTTTAGTCTTTTAGTTATGAGAAATGCCAGTAAGAGGGTAAGTCTAAATTCTCACAAAACACATAATACAGATTTTTAAAATCGAATATTTTCTGAAACTTCTGGTACTGATATTTACTCCCGTTACATCTCATATCTCATTTACCTTGTCAAAGGTCAGTACAGACTAATAAGAAGATTAAGTTATTGATTGCATGCCACAGAGTAGTTGAGCTGTTAATTATCACCAAATATGTGAAGATAGTTCTGTTGGATGTTGCATGGCGTGGTGTGCATTAATTATGGTAAAAGTGGCTCTACCACTGAGGTGGGGAATTAGCATGACAAATATTTTAGATTAGAGGCCAATCAAACTGCTCTCACAATAAAGCTTGAGAACTTTAAAGACATTAAAATTGTCACCCTTTTCCTTTCTGTTGCTAGGAAATGGACAGAAAAACATTTTCACAGTAATGTTCAATATGGCCAGGTTACTTTTGGTTGTCACATCATTTTGAAACTCACCAATACAGTCATCAAATTACCATAGGATCCCCCAGTGGAACAGTGGGTTAAACCCTTGTGCTGGCAGGGCTGCTGACTGAAAGGTTGGTGGTTCGAATCTGGGGAGTGGGATGAGCTCTCATCTGTCAGCTCCAGCTTCTCATGCGGAGACATGAGGGAAGTCTCCCACAGGATGGTAAAACATCTTTATGTTCCTTGAGCAACATCTTGTAGAGAGCCAATTATCTCACACCAGAAATAACTTGCAGTTTCTCAAGTCGCTCCTGACACAACACTCCCCTGCCCCAAATTACCATTTTCTAGATGGCTCTCTATAAAGGATATGGCTGGAAAAAGGTATCTGTTATGTAGGTAAACTGATATATCATAACTTTGATACTGTCCTCACTAACATGGACAAATTAAAGAAGAATGAATCATTCACTCAAACCTGAGACATTTTTCTTTAATTGAAACAGCTGCTAGAAAAGATATATTACTGCATCCATTGAATAAGATCACCTGTGGAATCAAATATTTTTTTGCTCCTTATTATGCCATGTGGTACAAATCAGAAACATCTAATGTGCACTATCAGTTTGTTTGGATACTTCCTATTAATTAAAAAGGGCAAATCAGATAGAAAAAAATCTTTAACGGAAATTAAGTTTTTCGGATGAAAAATCAATGCATCAGCTAAACTATCCAACTCAGTTAGTTACCTAACCTTATTTCCAAGTGCTTTTGTTTAGTAAGGAGATAACATACAGTTGACCCTTCACATTTGTGGGTTTGACTTTTGTGAATTTGATTACTCATGCATTTGATCAAAATGTTCTCTCTTCTTGTTGTTTTAATAGTTTTCTATTACTTTTATTTTGTAAGCTATCTATAGAAAAATTCAGTTTTAAATACTATGCTGCTGAAATCCTTGCTTAGTCATGCATGTGAACTCATGTAAAAATACTGTGTATATACCCTATGATGCTGGAAATAAAGGATCTTTTGTAGATGAGTGATATGCTCATAATAGATATATTGTACTCTAGCAAAATTGGAAGCATAAGATACGAAATAATACTACTTGTTGGAGAGGAAATATGTTTAACCAAAACACGAAGAGTGCTATACATTAGAGTGTAAATGTAAGGCTTATAGGCTCCATTTGATTCCTAGTCTCCTTCCCAACATTTTACACACAGATCAAAGAACTTGTGGTTCAGTTATGCCCGTAACTTAGTTTTCAGGGCTGTTCAGAGTGTAAAGAAATTCTCAGAAAGGCAGGATGTGGTCTTCGGACCTAATGTGTAGGCAACCCTTTGAATAATTTTGCTGCTGCCTACTTTTTCACATAGTGAACAGTGCAACCAGAAATGTTTACAATGTAATGTATGCCCGTATTCTGTGTCATCCTTTTTTCCCACAATAAAATCATTTTGTCTTTCAATTTTGTTAAGTTTCAGACATATTTCTTGACTTTTAAAGTTGTGCTTCAGCATACAAACATTTGTGGAATCTATCCATGTCTCAATTCTTAATTGTATTTCCCTTTCATTTTAGTTGCATAACAAGTGTGCTTCACACCTAAAACCTGAATGTGATTGTGGGTCTCTCAAGGATCATGTTCTTCCACCCACCTCAATCTGCCCAGCGGTATTGGTAAGTTATTCTTATTTATTAGTTCCTAAAATAGCCTTTTTTGCAGATGTTTTAAGTATGAATGGATTCTTGAAAACTGCTGCTTCTACAGCCTGTAGTTTTGCTAACAATACAGTATAGACAAAATACATGTTCACTACTAAGAGGTAATCACTGCACATTAAAAGGAAATTATGTTTTCCCTCCTTTTTATCACTCTGACTAGTCACTAGAATATAAATTGTAATGGGAGTGAATTCTGGTTTTATCACTCTGTCATGGGGAATTTACCAGAAACCAAATGCAGAATACTTCTATGTCTTACATCTTTTATGGGCATAGCTTCCCATAATAATCGAGTTATCCTTATGGACATATATTGCTTGGGATGCACATTATATATTTACTGTGCTGAGAACTTTGATTTCAGCCAGAGGTTACCTAGAATGATGGCATTGGCCTTGCAGCCAGCAATGCATCAACATTATATGTTTTCTGTGGCAGAACTGAGCAGTAAATTTCCCCTGCCTACAAAAACAATTACTCAGTGAAAATGGTAATAGAAATGCATGCTCTGTGAAAAGTACTATAGAGGGTTTATTTTGTTAGACACCTTCAAATGTAAATCACAAAGGAATACAGTTTATATATTCCTGCCCTCAGGTCTCCAAAACTTTCTATTCTCAAAAATATTTGAAAACAAATGTTTTAATTTGTCATTAGATTCTCCTTTATCAAGGGGGGGAAATTGGGTGTATTACAGTCAGTAATCAGCACCCTAATCAGTATTATTAGTTTTAGTTCTGTATCAATAGCCAACATCATAGTCAGTGTCAAATAAATTGACCTTGATATAATATGTCAATTTAAGGATATTTAGAATTCATTTATATTTCAATGCACATATAATTAAACAAGTATGAATATTTAATGAGTATTTTTGTATGAATTAAACATTATTTAAAGAATTCAGTTTTATTAATTAAGGCAATGTTTATAATTTATTTTATGTATGTTCTGCATTATCAGTGTCAATGTATCTTTATGTTTATATGTGTCTAATGTTTATGTTTCTTAACAAAATTCATTAAACTAAAACTGAAGAACTATGTGTCTCTCTTAGCCAATTGAAAGAGCTGTCCTGAATTCCACCAAATTTCCCACTCTTGCTGTAGGATGACTATGTAAGATTGTTTTTTCTATAGCTCCTTACAACTGAGATCCTGTTTTAACTGAGAATTTTTCCAGACTTCAGTCTCAGTTCTGTCTTGTATACCTTAAACAACATCATTGAAGTTTTTCGGACCACCAAATAGTACATTTTGTACTTTTTGTGGCAGATTTATTGAAATACAGAGTAGCCATGGTATTTATCAAGCCAATGGTCCATTTAAAGCCCAAACCTTCCTTAGCCATTTATAACATTAATAGCAATTCTTATAAATGCAGGCTCCTTAGAGATATCAAAGTTGAGGGGGAAAAGATAACTGGTACTCAGTAATAACAGTACCAAGAAATGTGGTCTGTAAAATTCAAAGATGATGTCAATGTTTTCTCTAACTAATAACTTATCACTAAAATTTGTGGTATCCTCATTGATCTTAATGCAGACTGGATTATATCCAGTGGTAGAACTCTTGCGCTTTTTTCCTGTACAGATCTATTCTCCATTAATATAGCCAATTGTTCAAAAAAGTAATGTAGATTGTGGCTGTGAGTATGATTTTTTTTCTAGGGTAGTTTAGACTCACTAAGCCAGCAGTTGTCATTCAAATGCCAGTTCTTGGGCTTGTGGGATATTCCACTTTAATTGTAAATCATTGATATAGCCTATACTTTGCATTCAAAAGATCACAGGTTTGGTCCCTGGTTTGGAAAAATTTCAACCCCAGATCCCAAAGAGCCACTGAAAGTCAATATTGTCATCACTGTGTTAGACGGATCAGTAGTCTGACTCAGTATGAAGCAGTTTCTTATATTCTTCAGTTATACAGATTTTATTTTGGATTTGCCTGAACTTCCTTGTATCATCTGACAAGACAAGCTCTGATTTATATTACCAAAGGTTAATAGAATGAGCCAACTCCAAGCTGTGGTTAATGACAGTGGTTTGTTTCAACTATCTGTAGTTAGGTTTAAAGGACAGTTTAGAGTTCAAATAACATACTAAAGAAAAACCTTTTATAGCTTGTCATTTTGCTGGAAAAGGAAGGTAGCATGTGAATCTTAGGTTCACTGAGGACCTTTCCAGACAGGGCCAACTCCCAGGAAGAACTGGAATATTATATCCCAGTTCCTTCCAGGATTCAAGCCCCACACCTCCCCCAAATCCTGGACTTTCCCTGGGGAGGGGGGTGGCTACATGTCCTCCCGGATCAACCAGTGGTTGACCTCCAGCTTCCCATTTACACAAAAAACTTAGGTAAGGAAGGGGGGAGGATTTTCCTCCTCCTCCCCTCACCTCCTGATGCATCATTTTGATGCACCAGGAGCTTTCAACAGACTGGCCCGAGCCGCTCTGAGTTCTCCTCGAGGTGACATAGAGTGGATAGAAGTATTGTAAATAATTTTTAAAAATTAATAAATGGGGGCTAGGAGGAGAGGGGGCACAGTTGTCCAGGAGCCCAAAGATCCTGGATCGCTGTGGGGATTGACCTCCAGGATCACAGAAGTGGTCCCAGAAGTCAGTTCACACAGGGGTCACACCTGGAAAGATCCGGACCTTATATTAAAGTCTGGATCTTTCCAGGTGTCTAATTAAGCCGGAGTAAACTGGGAAATTTGGACACCTCAGGTAAACCTAGTTCATGGGTGATAGGCCTGTCTGGGAGGGCCCTGAGATTCAGGTTAATAACAGTGTTAAACATAGTTTAGCATGTGGAGTAAAAGACCTGTAGGGGGAAGAGAAGAGTAATTTGGAGCATACCATTACATAACATGTGTTTGGACTGATACTCTTTGGGAATACAGAGAAAATGAAAGCTTGCTTATTTATTATTTAATTATTCATCTCTGTTGTCTTCGCATTTGGGGCTCAAACACAACCTTTGCCCCGTAGTTACCATATAAACCTGTTTATAAGTTGAGGGCAGGTTTTGAAGCCAAATTCTGGATTTTGGTACAACCTGTGGATAAACTGAAGGTAAAATATAGGGGCCTATAACAAAAGACAAAGCAAAAGAATGCCTAAGTACTAGCCATGGCTGCTACTTTTCTACTCGGGCATTTAAAAAAGCCAAAAACAGTGCCATGATGGAGAAAGTAGAGAAGGCGAGTGCTTCTTTTAGGTGTATCAAAGGAGGGGTAAGAGTTAAGATACTATACTGATATTGACCGGTGCATAAGTCAATCAAGGTTTTAGAGACTTTTTTTTTTACACAAATTTCTAGACTTATACGTGAATATACAGCATTTTGTGGATGTGGATGAGGCATTTCTTCCATTAATCTAGTATTGTCACAGTGGCTAGCCAAAAAGCTCTAGTAAGTTTATAATGGGGAAAATGCTGTTTCCCTATTTGCTACCAATATTTGGACTTCAGAATTATACTGTTTCTCTTTTTGATTGTCTTGCTTCTATTGCCTTTGTTGGTTTTCTCCCTCTTTTTGTCAGACATTAGGCTTGTGCATTTCAGCTGAACCTCGATTTGTTTTTGCTATCTGGATTTTGGGGAACCCACAGATCCATTTTTGCGTGTCTCCCAAAAACAGGTGGGCGTCCATTTTCAGTCCACAGCTGGAAAATGCAGCTAGATCTGGTCCACTGGTAGCAACGAGGGCTTCCTAGGCTCCCCTTCCCATCATTCTTAAGGCTATTGGGATGAAAATGGCCACACTTGGAAGACACGTCTACCACTGTTGCTCCACTAAGTTTCATAACATTTGGGTGATCCCCTGATTTTTAGGAATTTCCTTTCTTTCTAGAAATAAAATCTTTAAAAATTCCCAAAAATGTATCCCCCACCTTATAATTTCTCCAGGAGCAGCAGCGGGGCACCATTTCTTCCTACCAAATTTCAAAGATGCAATTCCATATCACATAGCCCACTATTACACTTTCTTTACTAATAAGAAACAACATCAACTTCTTTCAAAACGTTTGCATTTCTTATTCTCACAACATTGTGAAAGACGACAGCAGCCCACCATCCACTGGCAAGCAAGCAGCATGTCCCCTTATTAGAAAAACACTCATGTATGATCCACTGGATAAAAAATATTTTCAAAATGTATTATGAGGGATCTAGCCATACTTGAAAAAAAAACCCCATTTTTGGAGTATATATATATGTGTGTGTGTGTGTGTGTGTGTGTGTGTTCTTAGCATTTCAAAGCAGGTCATCAGCTTCACTGATTCAGAAAGGCAAGGACAGCAGCAGCCCCAAAAATGGGCTAAATGTCTACTTAATGGGGCTACTGAAGCACCTCTCTTTAGAGCCAGGCTGCAACTGAGAAATTGAGACGCTCGCCCCATTAAAAACAGACACAGCTTGCATAAGACATGTCACGGCTTTCTTTTATTCTGATTGGCCTAACCAGCAGGGCTCATAGGGAAGCCCTGTGCAAGCATGCAGCAGCCTCTTCATGCACAATGTGATCCTGAATAGAACAGAAGGTAGCCGCCATGTGGTCTGCCTCAGTCAAAAAAACATGGTGGTTGAGCCCTTACTGTTATGGGTGTCTGAAGAAGCTGAACAAGCAAGAGGCAGAAGGCAAACAGCCAAAAGAAATCCGTGCACAAGCCTGTCAGACATATCCAGTGTTGCAATAATGGTATCATTCTCCTTGGCTTCCAAATCTGTAGAAATCTAAATCCATTATTAGCAATGGTGGTACCAAATCATTTATTACCCCCTGTTATACTTTCCCATTTAGGTTTTTTTTCTATATGAAATACTACATTTGCTATTTCTTGTCTTTATGAACATAATTATTTTTTTCAGTACTGGTGATTTAGAGATTCTGTTACCTGTTACTTTTTAAAAATACACCGGATTGTAGAATTAATAATATGCTAGGATA